TAATATCAAATAAATTACTTACTATTTTAGATATTATAATACCTATATGTTTTTTAAATAGGAAAATAGTTAGGTACCTATCAAAATTTAATATATAAAAATATGTATATATTATATAAAATACAGTATTGGTTTTATAAAAAACATAAGTATGATATTGATAAAATATAGATAGGTAGATCTAATAAAAAGCTATTATATACTTTTTATACAATATGTTCTTATGTTGTATGTAGACTTAGTACACATTATTTGGATTATTGAGTGGGTATAACAACAATAATAAAATATACCTACCATATAATAAGTTTGATTTTGTACTACCTACTTATTATTACTATAAATATATAATTGTAAATATAGTATTAAAACATTAAATCACAAATTAGGAATCGTTTTAAAATTATTTTGATGATTAATTTATTATTCTATAGGAATAAGAGGCATTAGGTACTAAGTAGTACTTGTAAACATACTATAATAAATTATGCAACAGAATAAAACAAGTGTTTGAATAGATATCACCTACCTATAGGCGGCACTTTCCTCTAATTGTGGGGGGGGGCAAAATTTAATCACAATTTATTGACCCATTTTAATTGATAAGTTTACCTTCTCAATATTTTTTCTGGGTGGAAACTGCCCCTACGTGACCCCCCTCCTCCAAATACTGCATATGTACCTACCTACTTGTTATAGGTTCACGAGTGTATTGAAGTATAGTTTACCTGTAAGCGACGGACATGCATTGAAAAAGATTATTTAATGAAGTTTTTGAATTGTTGATGTCAGCCCTCGTCAGTATTTCTTCCGACACAGGCACGGCCACTTGATACTCGTCGTCCTGGGCTTCGGCCTCAAAACTTGAAACCATAAAATGTCCCGAATGTATGGTCTCCTTGATGGCGTTCGTCGTTTGGGGCAACATAATCACGAGTATAAACCGTATTTTTATTTATTATTCCAAACCACGTCAGTCATGTCACGCAAACAGTATGGGGTGAAAACAAAAAAGGAAAAAAATCGGTATGGACGGCAGCTGCGACGTTAGGTATTACATATTATTATTACATATTGCTGCCGGTCGTACTATACATCAACAGTCAACACACATAATATTCAACTACAAAATAGCTGATAAACTGACTAATGAGTAATGACCGGGCGTCTGGGCTAGTATAGGCTTGCGCAGCGTTCATGCCCGACGATCAAACGTGTTTGAACTCGTTACGCACGTTCGCCGTGCGGCAAAAACGTTTCTCAAAAACATTACATACTAGGTGGTATTATGATTATTATATATTACAATAATAGGCAATAAAACGAATAAAAACAATTTCCATATTACGTATATCGTTTTGTGATACCTGCCGCCGCGGACAGTAAATTTACGTAGATAACAGACACACATGCGTGTTTTTGATTACGGTAAATATAAAACACCTGTTGCGCTACTCACTACTCGGTCAAAGAAAACATAAACGCACGATGTCAATAACTATAACAAAAAAAACCGCTCGAATTCTGGCGTTTGTATACAGTATACATTAGAGTATTAGACTATGAGAGAGCCTTGATAAATAATTCTCTCCACACTCAACTCTTAAAGTCTCAAGTATACAGATATCTGATATACTATATTGCCAATATTACTATTATATTATTATAAATTATAATAAATTATAATAATATATTATATTCTTTGACGAGGGCAGGCGTTAAAGCACTTATAGGAAAGTAAAATTTCGTGAAATCGCTGCTTGCTTTCTACTAATTATTAAATACCTACCACGATTAAAATATATCTTTGATCATACATTCGTACTAAACTACTAAATACTAATCAGTAATCACAAATTAAATAATTAACTTTTATACATTATTATGTTTTTTCAACAGCTTCTGACGTTCTTTCGTAGACTTTTATATTTGTTTCACTACTTATGAGAATTGAGAAACCTTGTATTGTTTACATTTTCAATCAGTAGACATAAAAACTAAACATATTATAAATTTAAACCTACCAAAAAATTTGGAATTTTTGGAGATTTTGACGAATTTTGATCAAATTTTTAACTTTAAATGCCTATTAAAAATTGTTCGTATGTTATGTATCTTTAATATTTTTTAATAATTGTTATTATGACAACTTATAAGGAACCTATTATATTCAATTTTCAAGATTTTTGACACAACGAAAAAAATGTATTGACATTTATAGAAAAAAAACTAAAAAAGAATTGAATATTGAAAATGTCTATACATTTTTTTTTAATTTAATGGTGTATATAAAATAGTTATATAAATACCGGCTCAACTTTTAAGTATCTACGGTTATAATTTTTTTAGTTACACCAAAAAAACTAAATCGATCACTATAATTATTAAGTAGTAATTTGTTTATCAACATAATGCATAATAAAAAAAAAAATCGGGTAAGTGGGTAACACTTGTCTGCTGTACGCCTGTACATTACTACACTAGATGTCTAGGGAGTAATACTATAATTTATGTGTAAATGTGTTAAATTTGAATTAATAAAATATTTAAACCAAATTTTCAAGCATTTCGAATGTTCAACCCAACGGAACATTTTTTATTGGGAATTAGAGAAAAAAAACTAAAAAGAAGGGAAATGTCTATAAAAAACTCAAAATGAGTCAAAATTATTTTGAAAATTTATCATGTATAGAAAATTAAAAAATAAAAATTTTGCATTTGGATTATAGGTAAATAGGTTGGTAGGAGATAGGAAAAAAGAAATCGTTAAATTTTCTACAACAGATGAATTAAAATTCATTATTTGTAAATAAAAAGGCCATGCGGGGATCTATCTCCTCATACCCACCATAATTAAGCCTCAGTCGTCGAGTAAGCCACGTAGGTAATGTAGGTATGTGTTAAATTTGAATTCATTGCATAAATTATATACTTATAGATACGAAAAACGATATTGAGCAATGATGGTCTGTCAGACTATATCTATTGGTTATAAATAAGTATATTTTATGATATATAATATATATTATACCTATTTATTATTTATATTGGAATAAAGTGTGTTTTTTTAATTCGGTGGGTTGTTTTAGATTTATCTGAAAACATTGCATTTAAAAATGTCATTGTGTATTTAAAATATAATAAACATTAACGATGTCAAGTAGGTACTCACGAATATTTTTTAATTATAACAAAATAACTAAAATCATTGTTAATATATCTGATTTCGTCCAAATTCTAACTTACAATGCCCATTAACAATTTATAACTGTGTTTATATAATATAATATATAAGGTCCTAGCTGGTAGGTATTTTACTAAGTTAGAGTATGAAATATGATGAAGAATCTTGTGTTCAACTTAAAATGCTTGACTATAGGTCCTAAAATTATGTGAGCAGTATAGATACAACAACGTCAATATGTGACGTGTACAATGAAATTTAAAAATGTGTAACAAATATTTATTTATTTTTTTAAATATTATTAGGTACCTATTAATTTTGTATATTTTAGATTCTGAGTGAAACGATGAATGTATTGATTTTACAATGATGTGTGTTTTTTTTTGTGTCTGTGTACACGATGAGTAGTCGAAATAATGCTTCGATTTTCAACTTCAGTATATTGTTCGATAGGAAAGTGAATATCGTTGGTACATTGAGAAGGTCAAAATTTAAAATTCCTAGTAATTTTCAAAAGCGCCAAGATAAACAAAAGAAAAATTAAGGAAAAACGGGAATTTTTACGCAAAATCGATTTTTCACAAAATTGAATTTGGTTTTTGGTGTAAATTTAAAACAAATTACCATAGATAAATAACATTTTCACTGGTTGTTTATATTTGCATTTTCTATACACGATAACATTTTCAAAATATTTTAATTTATTTTGAACTGTTTAGGGACATTTTCATTTTCCGTTTTTTTTTTTAGTTTTTTTTCTAAAAATATCAATAAAATTGTATTTGTTTTTTAAAAAGCTTGAAAATTTAATAGAAGGCTCCTAGTATATTCAAAGGCAGATGAAAAAAATTAAAAATCCTTAGTCACAGTTTTTTTTATAAGCATTTAAAGTCCAAAAATTGACAAAATATGGAAAAATCTAAAATCAATTTTTTTTTAATACCGTAGATATGTATATAATATGTCTTATACCTAGACTGACATACCGTCTCAGCTCAGAATCGTTTTTCAAATTTAATACCATTCATTATACAGTGACCCACTTGTAACCTACTGTACAGCAGAGCACCATTTTAATCATGGTTTTATCGATTCATAGATATTCATTAGATAATAGATTTTCATTTCATCTATTCGAATTTCAATTATCAGTTAAATTATAGGTACTTGTTAAAAAATAAATTAGTTTATCTAAATTGAAAAAACTGTAAATGCGTAAATTCAAGTCTAAAATTCAAATCTAAAATTGCGATTTTTTGGGAGATTGAATTAGCGTCAAATTCCTGCAGTAATAATTGTTCGCACGTTATTGTTTCGTCAAAACTCGGCACTTAATACTTAGATAATACTTTTGCCTAATTTATCAGAACGAGTTGATCACCATCGTTTATAGATCAGTAACCTAGAAGATCACCAACGACGTTTTTTACCAATTCTTCAAATAGGTACATATTATGAATATGAAATATTATTTGTCAGTTGTCTTAAGCAGTCCTGCCTTGGTTATATTATTGTGTTCGTATTATGAAATCATTCTTAATTGTTTGAGAATCGTTGCGTGGCAACCAGCAGGGACACACTACATCGTACACACTACAATAGTGCACGATCCCAATATTTTATTATGATTGCATATTAGGGCTAAATCGCTTATTGGTGTTCGTCTAGCTATATACAGAGGGTTAACTCTCACTATTTATTGTGAAACTGTTTTTACTTTTTTCTATGGTATTAGATCGAGAACCAAAAATTCTGATTATAAACGATATTAGCCAATGTTTAAAATAAACGATCGACATAATTAAATTAAATTTAAATGTTATTAATTTGGCCACACACACAACTCGTTTCTTACACCATGGATTTATTTGAGACATGGGAAGATCAAGAAATCCAATTTGATTTAAGTATTAGGTAGGTAATTACTATTCAAGTATAGGTACTATATAGTAAATACGGTAGTTAATTAAATTTGAGTTGATAATATTGTTCTGTTATAAATATTATATTATATTATTTGTGGATGAAATTTAGTGTTTTATAATGTCTTAGGATAATAATGATAATTAATCACACAAAAATAGTATTTCATACGATAATTATTTGTAAAATGATTTGCTTCAGTGTATTATTATTTCGAATATATATGTAGAAATTTTACTTAAAATTATGTTTTTCTTCAAGCAAAGCGTTGAAAATGAGAAATGGAGAAAAAATAATAGATCGACTAGAATTTATTGAAGATACAAAAGGAAATAGTGGTGATAAAGGTGTACTTGTTATTACCAATTTGAGAGCAATCTGGCATTCAATGACTATAGCAAGAATAAGCTTATGTGAGAAAAAATACATATTAATATAAAATGTTTGATTATACTTTTAAATATGTAGGTAATTTATTATATTAATATTATTTTGTACGACAAATGTTTATTCTATATAGCTATTGGCTACAATTGTATACAGGATATTTCTACAAGAATTGTAAACTCGGTAAGCAAAAAACACTTGTTGGCGTGCAAGAAATAAACCAAATTGCTTAAAAATTAAAAATATTTACACTTTAGAGATTAAAAGGAATAACAGAAGCAATTTATATTCAAGCTAAATACAATGGATTGAGGTACGAATTTGTTTTCACAAATTTAATACCTGGTAACACAAGACATTTCACATCATTTATTGGAGTTTTCAAGTATACAAATACAAAAACATTTTTATTAAAATTTATACCATACAAAACTCTTTTACATTAAATTTGGTTTTAGAGCTTATAATTCTAGTAGACTATATCGAGAATTAAAACTTAGGGGAGCAATATTGAAGAATGGACGTTTAAGGCTTTTGATGTTCGAAAAAATGTATTCAGCTGTTAATGGTGTATGGAATTTATCTAGTGAACAAGTAATCAGTTATCATCTATAAAAACATTAATTTTTTCAAAATGTATACTCATGATTATTATTATATAGTTCCTACATAAAATATATTTATTACCAGGGAAACTTGGGAACATTCATGATCACAAATATTCGATTAGTATGGTATGCTGAAAGTAATGAGACATTCAATATATCACTTCCATACATTCATATAAATTCAGTATATTAAAATTGTATTTCAAAAATCAAACTTAAGTCTAATTTATTAATTTCTGGACTAGATAAAAATTAGGGAATCCAAATTTGGTGAAGTGTTGGTGATAGAAACAAATGGTTACAGTGGAGGCTTTACACTTGGATTTCGAATAGATCCCAAGGACCGATTACGATCAGTTACTAAAGAACTATCATCATTGTTTCGTATTCATTCTCAAGCGCCAGAATTTGGAGTACATTTTGTTACTACTGAACAGGTTTTTTTTTTTTGTATTAAGATAACTAATACATACTTGTTATATTATGTTAAATATGTTTTAGGTAGAAAATAATGAGCCCATAACACTACCAACCCTTCCCAACTATGATGAGTTTGAAGACGAGAATACAATAGGTGTTTCAAATACTTTGGCTGCATATAGTGTAAGTAAGACAGGTAAAGAAGATGGACTACCACAGTATGATTCGTCGATAGGTTTAGCTATTGAAACATTGCCAGATGGTTATACAATGAAATCTTTGTGGGAAGTTATACCAAGTACCAATAATAAATAACACGTATCTATTAAAAATGTCTTATATTTTAAATTTATAGTAAAATTTTATTTTAAGTGAACGAATTACAGTTGTTTTAATATTTAGCCTCAGCATACCAATCTGTATGAAATATAACGTCCAGCAGTTTCAGAATTTCTTACAATTTTTACTACCTGTGAACAAAAAATGGATTAACTTAAATTATTTATAATAGGATTCAACAAGATATTATGTACGATTCATTTTTAATGATAGTATTTGAATTATTACAATGGATACTTGTAACTTGTAAGACCATAAAATACTTATAACTCTACCATAATTTGTTTTTGTTTTCACACTTTGTTAACATATCTTTTTATTAATTAGCTCATGTCAAATATATATTTAAGAGGATGTCAGACATCAGTGCACTATAGTCTATAATATTGTTCTCTCTCTCTGACACAAGCGTAATATAGTACATTTGCATTCAGCAGAACCAATATTGTGTTGTTAGGTTTACTTAACCTATTATAAAACTTAAATTTAAGAACATTATGATTCTCATTAGTCATTACTTACATATAAATTGAAATTTTGTAAAAAAAAAAAACCAGCACAAGAACATAGACGATGTACCTACTTAACTTTAAGTTTAATGATAAGTTAATTCACTCAATACTAAAGCTAACACAAAGTTGATTCTGCTGAATGCCAATTTGCCATGTTGCGCTTGAATTAGAAAGATAAAACAATAAGTGTGCTGACATCCTCTTGTGGTGTATTACATTAGATATTACAATTGCTGTTGTGCTATGTATTGACTGATACATTTTATTATTCATGTTTAAAAAATGATCAGACATTTGTTAGTAACAAAATAAATGCCAAACTCTTGAAATATGAATATAAGAAACAGTTTTTTTCGACATACTACATAATTTTTAACGCTATAAAAATGTATCTTAAATATTTTATTATATTTTGTTCAAATAGATCAACTCAAAAGAAAAAAAAAAATTATATCTAAATCGATTGTCTAAGTATTGTTTCACTATCTCTGATAAAATATATTATACTATACATATTCTATTCAATCTTACTTGTCCTCTTTTTAAGCCGAAGTAACGAGAAACTGGATCACCAACTTGAATTCTCATAAGCTGATTTTCTTTTAATTTGCTAATTTATTTCAGTTAAAGAAAATTACATACATATAAATAAAATTGAAATACTAATTAGTTTAATCAAAAAACAAATACTATACAACTTTTCAACATAAGCAACATACTAATAGACAAGAACTATTATAATATCGATGGCGTAGCGCACAAGTGTGATAAGTGACATTTTCGTAATTGTTCAGGAGAACGATTTTTAAGTTTGAGATGTTATAACAAATTCAAAAATGTAACGAACTGTACGACATCTATCGTAGTAAATATGAACTATTCACTTACAACGTTTGGGCATAATGTGCAGAATTGTATGATTAAATTGATTATGCACTTAACTCATTTTCAAAAAATGTCACTTATAACACGTGTGCGCTACGCCATCGATATGGCTATAACAGTAACAGTTCAACATTTGTGGAACATGACACATTAATGTAAACAATCTTGATAGCAATCGTATTTATTTAAAATTATTATAGACTGATGTATAACTGTAACCTACACAGAACTCGCGGAGAAAATATTATATTATGTTCACATTCCTATGTACAATTAAGTATTTTTACTACGTTAACTTAAAATCATAAAATTATATAAAAAATACAAAGTATTGTATCTACCTAATTACTAATTAGTATAGTAACTGGGACCATAGATACTGTATATCAGTAACATGTAAAGAATTAAGTGCTTTCTACATTTCCATACTAAACATACACTCAGTTTGTGTATATTAGTCTAAGGCATTATTTCTCAACCTGGGGGTAATAATCTCGGAGACAAGGGGTGACGTTGGTAATGTACAAATAATTTTTTTTGGTATAATTAATATTAATAAAACACACTTAAACTAACTTATTATTATTCTACTTGTTTCCAATAATAGAAAATAATAGTATGAAACTGATGCTAATTGCCGCTGAGCAATAACACACAATCAAAAGTAGATACTTGTCAATAGATGCAGGAACTCCACTATCAATGGCTTTCTCACCCGACCATTCACTATAAATGGTATTTATAAATAAAAAATACACATTTGAAATGTTTTCTTTCCAGTGTATACTAGTTGTTATTTATCGCAAGTCATAAAATATTTGTAATTGGTAAGACCAATAATTAAGCTCAAATTTGTATTTATTGCAAGGGAGTTGTGAGGTGACTGACTTTATTTTGTGGGTTGCGACCATTGGCACAACTAGACATTTGAACTAGGGGGTGCTTAAGCTCCAGGTTTTTTTGTGATTCAATGAGACCTAACACCTAACGACTTTTTAGGGGTGCTAATTTTGACTTAGGGGGTGCTAAGGACCCAAAGCACCCTTCCCCTAGTTACGACAGTAAAATAGTTGAGAATTTATATATAAGGCGCCACATCTACCCCTCTCATAAAAATACATTTTAAATCAGCAAAAGAGTAATAGAGTACAATGACTAATTCAGGTGATGGCATTAGGACAAAAATGGTTAAGATTATGCCAGCAATACAAATGTTAAATACCTTTTACCTAATATTTCTTAAATTTTCATATTTATACTTAATTCTTAAACACTAATGTAATTCACTATACACTGCATACTATACAAAACTAGTATATTAAAAAAAAGGATACTATCTGCACAAAAGTTCTTGTTTCTCATCTGGTGTCAAAACAATGTGTTCAGGTACTAGTTCGTGTTCAGTTATATTAATTAGAAGTTCAGATTCCAAAAACTGTTCCAATATATATTTAGGAGCCATATCAACTAAGGACTAAAACAAAAAATAATAATTATATTTTTTAATGCTCAATGCACAAGTTTTGTTTTTCTGAAAAAATTAATTTAAATTATAAGCACTACTATAATAATATGAAAGTAATGATTCTCATTACCAATTCATAAATACGATTTTTTTTCAAAACTATACTCCATTCACAATAAGAAACTCAAACGGCGGCAATTAGTTTTTGTTGGCGGCATTCAGATAACACCAATCTGTCACCCCCATCAAGTAACTAATATATATACCTGCCGTGTATTATTGTTACGTTCCTGTGCACAAGTCGACCGCCGTTTGCGTTTCTTTCTGTGTATAGAGAATACTATCATTACAAAAATATGATTTTAGTAATTAATGTACACATTGTTATAGTATTAAGAATCATATTTTATGATATTATGTTAATTGTTAACATTGGTGCCGAACTGTGTTTACGAGCTATATATACAACTTACTAAATTATTAGCTTTTTGTAAAATTGAGATTATTAAGAATCAAACATACTTGTTTTGCACTTGGAGTCATTCCTTGTTGAACAACAATAATAGCTCGAGTAATGGTTTCTTCTTGCATTCTCTGACAGTAAGTTTTTATAGTTTTTATACCAATTTTTGGTTCTTCAGGAAAGAAAACAAACATTTGATCTAAAATTGATAATGAATTATTAAAATATTTTAAATTATATAATAATTGCTACTTGTTATACCTGTAGGATCGTCATTATGTGCCACAAGAACAATTAAATCACTACGTCCAGGTCTTTTTTCACTGTAAAAAAGGAATATAACAATCTATAAGAGTTAAAAATCTAGTAAGGAATATGAATACATATTATGTGAACCATATATTGAAGTAAAATTTTAAAATATTAACATTTTAACAAACCTAGGTTTATCTCCAAATTGTTCTTTAAACTGTTCCAATGTTTGATCCAATTCATCCTGTGTGACTAAATAACCTCTGTCATGGCAAAGCTAATATAAAACACAATTATTCATTAATTGATGGTGCTTTTTAATTATCGAGCTCCCGCTCACAAAGGGAAATACTCCCATTGATATTAAATTTATGGATGCAGCATTGTATAATATTCTGTTAAGCTAACACAACTGATACTATTATTATTAAACTTGAGCCTGGAAACTATGGACATTAGCTATTGTAGGGATTACGGTTGAAACAGTAGGTTAGAAACATATGCATGTGTGGCAAGGTTTTTGCCACTACGAACCAGCGTGGTCACCCATCCAAGAACTAGTTACTTTATATCTTTTATCTTTTGTTTTAATGTTAGTTTCTTTATTTCTCAGAGGCTTCTGTACAAGTTAAAACCACCATTTCTCTCTATGTTATATTGGCCTAAAATTGCTAAAATTGTATGTTTAATAAAGATAGGATTGTATTCATAATATGTTTAATATCAATATGTACTCAGCATCACTTGATGCTATACCTATCGGCTAACATTTATGTATGGTAAATGGGAAACTCTTTTTACACCTTTGGTCTATCACAAATATAATTATGTAAGTCCAGACACATACTTACTCAAAATGTTGAGCGTTTATGGTGATCGGATAAAGAACAAAATACAATTTTACCGGAAACTCATTGGTCCAAGTTAGATTCTTACATATTAGGTATGTGCATTTCATTGGCAACAAAAATATTCAAGTAACAACTGTTGATTCACTTGAATTTTAAAGTACATCGTTAAATGTAATATGTTCCTTCATAAATATTTTATTAAAAAAGTAATATTGTAATAGGTAAGTGAAAACGTTTTTTCTAAGTACTAAAAAGTTGAGTTTCTGGTATCCGGGTACCTCAGTTTACAGGATACACATTACACTGTAGTAGACATTTAATCCGTCTACTGGACAATCCAGACCGTCTAGTTATTCTAAGTTTATATTTGGTGTAAGTACCTATTTAATTTCGTTTTGGTATTTATCTTACCTGCATAACAGTTTTTCGAATACGCCACAGTTTGTACGACTCACATTCGTCATCCATTTTGCAATTAAACGTAAAACAGTAAAAATGTAAAATATATTAAAGACCAGTAAGTTGAACAACACCGTTGATTGTGCAAGGTAGAATTTATTATTTACATGTCATATTAGATAATATTATCTCTAAGCGTCGCACATGTTCCATATAGAGATTACTCTATGACATGTTCAGTGATAAAATGTTACTAACTTCCATCACATCACACAAAGGTGGTTAATTTTTGTTCAATAAAATTTTTCATAAAATTTTCAATATTATTCAATTCTTTTTTCTTTATAAATAAAATCTAATCTAATCCGTAATCGTTAATAGTTTATGTTTATTCTATATAGTTATATAGTCAGTTTAATCTATAAAATTGTTATTTTAAGATATCTAATCGGAGTCGAAGATAATGATGGCTGCACTACTCAGTCATACGTATAGAGATCAGCCCGGTCCCGGGTCAACCCGGACCGGACTGGAAAAACCCGGACCGGATCCAGGTTAGGTCCGGTCTGGGTCAAAATATTTTATATTCTTGGTTTAGGTGTTCGGTTTGGGGCACAGTCATATTATAATGGGTTAGGTTTGGTTATATGTTTTTTAATATAACTGGGTATGGTCCAGTCCGGTCTTTTTTATATTATAATGTATGTACTATCTATATAATAATGGATATTTCTTCTTAACGTCTTATTTCTTCTGTCTCAACTTAATTTGATGATTAGGTACTAGGTAGTCAATAATTGAAATTATTTAAGTGACATTTTATTTAGTTTCTAATAAATTTGGTTTATATGGATGATCCGGTTTGGGTACTCAATGAGCATATTTGTCCTGGTCCGGGTTTTTATTAAAAACTTATGATCCCGGGTTGGGCGGGTTGGTTTAAAAAAAAATAATAAAAATCCGAGCTGGGCTGGTCCGGGCTTATAAAAAGTTTGTAAGCATGGTTCAAAATTGGTTTGGGTTGAAAAATATATTTTCGGGATTGGTCTGATCCGGTTTAACAAATTGTCTTAAATGGGCCGATCCGATTTTTATAGGACCGGGCTGTACTCTACTAGTTACTTTGCGTTTGTAGCGTTTGGTAATACACTAATACACCGTAGTATTAATTATTAAATACATTTATAATTAATTATAATTTAACTAATAAACTGCAGGCACAGAAATCTCATTAATTACAAATTTACAATTTTTTATTCAATTAAATTTTTTCTTCAAATCAATTTTTCGCCAGTCACATTTGTATTTTTTTACACTCATATTTCTATGTAAAATAATCAAATATAATAGCAATACAATTATTAGTATTGTATACATATATCATTTATAACATTTTTTTTTTAATGTGGCCCTTGATGAACATTTGAAAAAAAAATATGGCCCGCGTGGTTCAAAAGGTTGCCGATCCCTTGGTCTAGACCACAGAATCTGATAGGTATATATAATATATAGGTATATCTGTGGTCTAGACTACGAAACACGATTTAAGGTAGTATCCGTGCTATGGAGTACGGACTAATATAATATTTGAATTTAGAAATATAATACATTTAATTCGTCATGTATCTCTATAATAGTATTTTATTACTTTACAGGGCACTAATATAAAATTAGTACCTACCTATTATATAAGTATAATGGTGTACCTATTATGTACCTACCTACCTTTTTTTATATGGCACCAGTGGCGCCGAGGCGGATACAATGGGGGGGGGGCGAAAGGGCGTTCACCCCCTTCCCCTTGGGCTATTCTTTTAACATTATTTTCTATTATAATATTAGGCTAAACGCTAAACAAAAGACAATTTCATTTTTGAGAATTCGCCACCCCCCTTTGGTGACTTCTAGATCCGCTACTGTATGATACCTACACATGGGGACTACACCGCTTTGCCACCACATAGTATAATATATACATAGGCAAAAAATAGTGTTTGCAATCTGAAGAGGGAGGGGGGGGCTTTATAGTAATAAAAAAAGAAAAAAGTTACCATTTCAAAACCAAAATTAGATAATGTCACTGTGATTTTACCAATAGACATAACTATATAACTACATACGGGTGAAAAATTATGGGAAGTAGAAAATATAAAATTTCTATGCATTTTTAATTATTTAGAAATGTGATTTTGTTATCATTCTGTATCACATATAGCAGTGGCGTATTTAAGGGGGGATCCATAGGGTCCCGACCTCTCTCATTGGCCCCATAGATACCTATCTAAAGTCTAAACATCTAATATATTCTGTAGCAGAGCCCCCCACTTAAATGTATCTGGAAAATTAGATAGCCCTATCCATGAAAAATTCCTGTCACTGCAGGTTGGTGACACAATGTACAATATGCAAAATATATTGTTTTCGTCCTCTTATCGACGAAGACTGTTCAAGTGTAATTACGTTTTATTCTTGATAGTTGTTATATTTTAGAAATTTAATAATACCAACTGTTAATAATAATTGTCATTAATTGTTAATATTTATTGTTTAATAATTACATATTATACAAATTTATAAGGAATTAACCTAGTCCCAAGATGTTGTTATTAGTTAGGTATCACCCATTAATATTTTAAGTATTACCTATACCATTGATTAGTACACAGTCGAATCAAATCCATTAATGACATATTATGATATACAAATGTGCATTAAAACGAACAAAATGACCAAAAAATGCTAAAACAATTCTCGTAAAATGAAAACAAGTTCAAAGTTCAAACATGCAACATAATGCAAAATTAAAGTTTCACCGTTGAAGACTTGAAGTATCTGTTTCATGAAACAAATTATGTACTTGGTAAGCATTGTCTAAGAATTAAGATCACCCAAAAGAAGATGCACTTTTCATTGGAATCTGGGCCCTAGTTATATATTATGTATCTATCTACGAGTAAAAAGTTTAAAGTACAGTATCAAATAAGCCGGCGATTGTAAGTAAGAGACAATATTATGTAGTATTGACGTCTTGTACAAGATCTGAAGATAAGACATAATATATTTAATTGGTAATAGCCAATAGGTGGGCACCTATATAATAGGTACCTATATTGTATGTTGTATGAAGATACTACCTAAGTACCTAACACCTTGTATAATATAATGTATTTAGGAAATAAAGAATAAACTTCCAAGTGTTTATTTATTATTATTGCACAGCTGTAATTTCAATACCTATGTGTATATATTTGGTGTGCTAGTATGGTGGTATTGGGTATATCATGCGTCGCCGCGTCGATGGAGTTGGACATCGAACCTCTATAAACGAATATCGATTACCTACTTAGGGCGTAGCCAAGGGGGGCAGGGGGGGGGCAATTGTCAATTGCCCCTCCCAAATATCCATAGCTAATAAATATATTAAAGTTGAAAGAAACTTTAAATTGGGGTAAACATTTTAGAATACACTTGGTTGCCCCCCTCCCCTTCCCCCAACTGATGACATTTTTACCTACGCCATTATCGATAACTATAACAGTGACATCATATTAATATAATCATTACCTAATCATGTTATTGTAGACAGGGCCGTCCGGACGATTTGCGGGGCCCAGGGCAGAGTAAATTTGTGGGGCCTAAAATGTCATTATCGTCAGTTGGCAGTTGCATTTATTTAAATATTTAATATTAAGAATTATGATATATACCTACCTAGGTATAAGGGGGCTACGCTCAAATATACTTAGAAATATAGTACCTTGTACTTACAATAATATGAAAAAGTAAATTCATTAATAATAAAACACGTAATATATTTATACTTAATATAATAATATTGATAAATTAATAAGTCTATAAATATAGTAGGCACCTAATACAATATGAAAAAAGGTGGACAAGTAGGTACCGCTCTGCTGTACAGTGGGTGTCAAGCATGTCGTTGTAATGGATGTGTTATATTTAAATTACATTGATAAATATTATTGTAAACGAAAAAATATTCTGAGCGGAGACATTGTATCAGCCTAGCACACTTGTAAAAATAATCAAATTTAGTAGCTAAAAAGAAATTAACAAAGATCATAAACGTGACTTTCTTGGGAACTTTTTTAGTTTGATAGAATTACAAAAACTTGTTGGAAACCTCTATTAAAATGTCTTAAGTTAGGTATGAAAAAAAAACTCTTATGAATTTTGTCAACATTGGAACTTTATAAGCATATAACAAATAATTGAGCCTATGTATTTTTAAAACTTCCATTAATGAAAATTATAAGGAACCTATCATTACATTTTCAAGATTTTTTACTAAATGAAAAAGAATTTATCGAGGATAATTTAAAAAAAATTTAGAAAAATTGAAAAATTTCTCAAGGGTTCAAGCCTATAACTAGCTCAAAAATAGTCAAAATATTGAGAAAATGTTTTATGGAGAATTCTAATATAAATATTTGTTGAAAATTTCAAGGTTCTACAGTTTGAGATACACCAAAAAAATAAAATCGATTTTTCAAAAATTGGTTTTGTATAAAAGTCACCTATTTTTTTGTTTTTCTCAACGCTTTTTAAAACTTATAGAAATTTTTAATTTTGACTTCCCAAAAATACCAACTAGTTTCACTTTTCTATCAGTAGTGATGCTGATCTAGAAAATCTGAGCACTTTTACTACCCAAAAAGCGCCATAAGCCCATACAAAACAGAAAAAAACACACATCATTGTAAAATCAATACATTTTTTCTAAGCATTTTTTTTCTATAAATATTATAGCTAAGTTGTTGTTTCTTGGGGGGGGGGGACAGAGCGCTTTGAAGATTTTTATCATTTTCAACTTTGAAAATTGAATTTAAATCATATTAACTCGTTTTAAATGCAATACATTTATTTGACGACTGCGGACTGATGTCAATTAATATAAGTAGGTATAGCCGTAAGTATAGGTAGTAAAAATTACAGTAATTGAAGATATGAAAATATATAAATAATAATTTTTTTTTCTCATTAACTTTCTTTTTTATGGTATCTACAAAAGCGGGGCCTGTCAAACTGGTGAAGGCGCGGGGCCCAGG